TTAACAACTTAACCTTTTCACTTACTAACAGAGTTACCCTAAGGGTAAAATGAGATCCATTCAACCTTTATTTGGCATGAACGAGACTAATACTGAGTTAGAAGAATCAGTATGCATTAAGAGTCTGCCAGCATAGACAGAAGACCACTGAGAGAAACTTTCAGCAATCTGAGGAAGATTTCCAAGCCTTGTAAATCAAAATCAACCATTCTATCGTGAACAAGCCTCATGTGTAAGTAAAAGATGCATACTATAAATAAAATCTTTGTTCAAAACTAAACCATGTTTGACTTATAAATGGAGGCAGTGAAACACACAATAAGTTACATTGTATGCAGAGTTTAGGAAACACAATATTGCCCTTAAGGACATCATAGGTCAGTAAACAGAAGCAAATCTTTCTTCGCAAACTGATGAGCAGACGTTCTGTAATTTCCAGGCCTTTCATCCTGAGCCAACACACTGAGATAATCACCTCTCCATGAGCGCAGTGCTAAACAGCACCACAAGCTAAGCTGGAATGGCAAGGGAGCATCTTATTTCTACAAAGGCAAACACAAACACAAGCAGAGGTTCAGAAGAATCATAGATGGCTGCAGAAAATCAGGGAATCGAGCCAGAATACTCCCTCCACCGCAGTCATAAAGTGAGGCAAAACGTTTAAATGCAAAACGAGCTGATTAAGGCTAACGAAGCTTGAAGGGCAGCTAAAAATACTCGTGTCCACTTGCAGATGGAGCAGCCTGTGATCATCTTTAAGTGAAGTTTTGCTGAAATTACATTTGGTCACAAAAAGAGGTGTTTGCCATTTAAAGAATTGAAATAACACTCATTTCCATTCCAGAGCCATTAACAACTACACTAATAGCAACAACACATTCAATACATCCTCAATACTTTCTAGTGTTAGAGCCGGATAAATTAAGAATCACCATTTTTTGGTTTCAAACTGAGATCACGATTCTCCCACAATGCTGAACAGACTACTAAACAAAATAACATGTCATTTACAAGAGGTTCTGAGTCTGACAAATGTTAATTGCTGCAGTTTATTTCAAATGTTTAATAAATATGAATGAATCATTTAAAAAGAGGTTTGAATGAAAGATTCAATGACTCATAAGTGTTTTATTTTTTCATTACTGAATGAATCAGAGTTTTTTGAACAAATCTCTTGAACAAATGATTCAATACCAAATACATTTTTGTAACAGTCACTTGATGTAATCGATACAATCATTATTTGAAGCGCCTGTCAAAAGTTGATTCACTCTATTTTAATCGCTTCCATAGACATCAGTGTTTATATTCGATCTATACACTTTTATCACAGTTCTTCTATGATAATATAAATATTTGTAACAAAGAAACGATACTGTGTGGTAAAAAGACTGTTTGTGAAGCCGTTTCATACTATACATGACAACGACTCTCTCTGGATCAGCGGCAGCGCCAATGCAGATTTGATCATGTGTGTGTTTGAATCAAAGATCACAATCTTTTAATTATCAACCAAACAGTTAATGGGCCCATTGACTTCTATAGTATGGAAAAAAAATACACTATGATTCATTTCCAATAGCCGAATTGTGCAGATATTCTAACTGATATTCGGGGGAAAACAGCACTCTTGCTTGTGTGATATTGCTTGATTATCATACAAAATTATAAGACAAAAAAATTGGCCCCCATATATTGAACTTTAGGGACATTCTAACTTCGGCATTTCTTTGTTTGATTTTGCAAAGTAAGTGACATACTCAATATCAGCTTCGACATTGCTAAAACAACGATATAATTGTAGATGATACATACCACACACCCATCCATAAATGAAAGCCAGGATTGGTTTATAAAAGATGTGGACCTACATGCTTAGTTGACAATCTACTTAGGGATATATATTTAAGCAGTGTGCAAATTATTCAATGAGTTTCGCGCAACCTGTGGGCTAACCATCTTAAAGGGGTCATATAATGGTACATGCACTTTTACAAGTTGATTGTACTGAAATGTGTGTTGGCAGTGCCTGTACACAAACATCATATAATGATAAAAATCCATCCAGTGGTTTTGTTTTAATCTCCTTATATGTTTTCCCCTGCCTCAAATCGAGCCGTTCGTTTTTGTGACGTCAATAAAACGGACGCCCCTCCCACGATTGTTGATTGACGGGAGCGTTTCAACACAGACCCGCCCTCGCACATGAGGTAGCTGTCAATCATAGTCTGCGCGGCGCGGACCGGACCGGCGCGGTCATTGTTGATGTGCTGGAGCACTGTCTATGAGCAGAATGGCGTCTAAGCGATTGTGGTGTTCTGTTCTTGGGTGTAATAACGAACAGTCATTTTAATGTTCCTGAATCCAAACCGCTGAAGACGCAGTGGCTGAGTTTTGTTTTCGAAGGGAATATTCCACACGAGCAACGTCAATGCTTTCATGTTTGCGCGAATCATTTCACACACCAGACTGCTTTATAAACGAGGGTCAGTATAAAGCCGGATTTGCTAAGAAGCTTTGCTAAAAAGGATCGGTACCAGATATTCGTGTTCCTGCTGAACCACCAGAAGAACGGAAGTGAGTAAAACATTTTATTAAACTTTATATTAATCTTTGCAAATCGCTAGCTGCACGCTTCACAATGAATGCGTCTAAGGTTTACACTCAGGGTACATTACGGCATGTTTTCTATGTATGACGTTCTCAATATAATTCATAATTCCACGTTTATACTGAACAACGCGTTATGGTTATTGTGTTATTGTGTTACAAACGGTGTATGCGCAGAACAGAGGGGCGGGGTGAGCGCAGCTCATGATCATTTAAAGGCATATGCACTGAAACGGCGTGCTGAAAACAGAGCTGTTTTTGACCAGGTAAAATAAGTGTTTTCTTACAATACTAATGAGAATTTTTAATTAAAGTATATTACAAACTTTTAATTTAGACCCTAAAGAATCATATTAGCTTGTACAAAAATGGCATTATATGACCCCTTTAAGACATTTTAAACAAAACACTAACTTTTTTAACATATTTGTTATCTAAATCTATATTAAATAATGACATACTTTTATTGTATTAAAGTACCATCCCAAGCTGCTGATCCTAGGCCTATATGGTTACCTCCTCAGGCAAACATGAATACTTTTCTCTCTAACATCCCTCCCGTTTAACCCAGCCTAAGATTATCTGCTATTCTAAGCTAGTTTCAGCTGGTTAAGCTGGTCTTCCAACCTAGCCAAGCTAGTCTTCAGCTGATCCGAATCTTTTGTTATGACTTCATTTGAGCGGGTTCAAGAAGTCTTAATTAGTGGGGTCAGAGTCAGACACCTCCATAATTCAAACCCTGCATTTAAGATCATTAGTGTCTATATCATAACATGTAACGGTGGGTTTAATAGTACCCATACAGCTTTCTTTAAGACAAACTCAACACTAAACTCAAAAAGTATATGTGATGATGTATCTACTGATGGCCCGTTAAACCCACTGACTGTGACTTATTTGGTATAAAATGATGCTGTTTTTCTCTACACAGGTTGGCGCAGTGTGCTTAGGATCGTTTGGAGATACAGGCCTGGAACTTTGAGGCAGGGTTAACAAATGCACAAGCACTTATAGCCTTAAATGGTTCAGATCTACACACAGCAGACAATGCACATGAAACACACACACACAAGGACCAGGTACTAGAAATAAAACAGCTCACTCAATTCAGTTTGCTTATGTCAGATGTCAAGATTCTCAACATGACAAATTATTTAAATAGTACATGCCTGTGTTTCTGTCTGACTCCAAATTCTGTGCAAAAACACAGTGCTGCACAATAGCCATACACAAATATACCAACTCTGAGCCATCAATAATTGGTTTGGACGATACTGATTTTCTATGACTGATATAATTAAAAAAAAATTCTCTAACCAATATGATTATTAGTAGACCCCTTTTTTTGTTGTTCTACAAATATCAGTAACTAATGATGAATATGCATAAATTTTATATGAAAGGAAATTAGCAGTGTCACATTAATAAAAAATGTTTTTTTATTGTTGTAGTCCGTTAATTATTTAGAAAATGCCTTCAAAAGACATAAAACTATTTCCTATATATACTGTTTTTTATGTTTGAAATGCAATGAAAACTTGGTCACACACAAAAAAATTAAATAAAGCAATAATTAAAAGTCTGTTCTAAGCATTCTATTCTGTATCTAAACATAAAAATGCTCTATAAATCAAGAAGAAACTATATTTTTCCATTTCTGGTTCTTTGCAAATGATGTAGCATCAGAACAGCTTTAAACTTTTAAACAGCTTTGTTGCTGTCATGACAAGAGCATACGTTTCATTATTCATTCATATTTTTATAAATCAATGATTTCATGTTTCCAGATTTATAATTTCATATTAAAAACGTTCATAATCAATAATAATCCCGTGTAAATTAATTTACGCAGCATTAGACTGTCGTTTTGTGGTATAAATGCAGCTTCAGACGCAGCTTTTGCAGTGTAAAGATGGCATATATGGCGATGCATTTGTGAGGAACTGCTTGTTTACCTAAATGCTGGTGTACTGAAGACGTTATACTGGCATGAACAACAACACAGCCACAGAAATTCAAAAATATCAACGGCTACATGAAGATTCCAAGGCAGTATTATTTTGACCGTTGGTCTCAAGGGAAACGCATTTTTAAAATCCTAACGGAAAAATCAATTCTGAAGTCTTTGAATGGTTTCCTCAAGGTCAAATAGATACATTGTAACAAAGAAAATGCGGCGGGAATTACAGCAAATGAACGCCTTTACGAACACAACCTCGGTGCTGCTGCGGGGAGAATAATTGGCTCCAACATCTGGTGTTGGTTGTGTTGGTATGGTGGTGGAGGTAGCGTTGGGTTTTTGGGTGGGAGGAGGAGAGGGGGCCGTTAAAGTATCCTCCGCAACAACCATATTGTCGAACAAAATAAGTCATTTAAAATGTCAATCATACCTTCGGATAACTCCAGCTCCAGCTCAGCCAATCTGGCCCGCACTTCCAATGGAAGGGGCAGCGCATCGCGGTCCGCCATTGTCCGTTTAAGGGGGTAAAAATCACTCTCGTCCTATTTCTTCGACTCTTTCAGCGCAGCTGGCGTTTCTCCGCGTCGCAGCGGTGCATAAGGAGGGCTGGGGGAGACGCGTGTCCAAAAACAAACTGTTCTGTGAACGATAGTGCTCGGAGATTTGCTGTCCCTCTCAACGAAGCCCCGCCATATCTGAAGGGCTCCGCCGTTAGAGTCAGCAGTGTAAGATGTGGACTGTCAGTGCGGTGAAGCTCGCGGATCGGAGCGGTATTGTGTGTGTGTGTCTCTCCCTCTCTTTCTCTCTGTCACTCTCTCATGACGCAAGGCGAGTGTGATTTTTACAGCCGCAAGGGGGCGACAGAACACCTCTGTTTATGTTTCCATAAATAATGATTTCATACTGAGAATACCTGTTCAGGTTACATTTATATAATATATACATTTATATTATTATTATTATAAACAAACAAACAGACACGAAATAAAATATGTTAAATATTACAAGTGTCGGTAAAGACGTTTATAATGTTATAAAAGATTTATATTTCAAATAAATGCTGTTCTTTTAAACTTTCTTTTAATCAAATAATACTGAACAAAATGTATCTAGACAAAAATTATTAAGCAGTACAACAGTTTTCGACATTGATAATAATAAGAAATGTTTCTTTGAGCAGCAAATCAGCACTCTGAAGACTGTAGGCTAATGATACTGAAAAGTCAGCTTTCCATCACAGGGATAAATTACATTTTAAAATATATTTAATTACAAAAAGGCTTGTAATAATAATAATATTTCACAATATTGCTGTTTTTACTGTATTTCTTAATTCAAGAAATGCAGCCTTGGTGAGCATACTTTTTTTTAATGACAAGCAGACTTTTCAACGGTATGTATATATACTATTGAAAATCAGGGATTTTTTTATCTACATCTTAGAATAAAGTTAAGAAACGTTATGGTGTGAAATGAAGAACAAATATTTGAGAAATCTGCATTATTTTTTTAATCAATTTGACATCGGTTATATGTTCTTGCTTTATACAATCTTGGGGTTAAAGCAGCTTGAGTGCTGTTGTTAAATTAAGCAAAAGTGGGAAAAACCAAATTCTAATAAATTCATGCACATTTTCATTGTAACATTTCACACACACAAATATAGATATTGAAGCATTGCAACTATTGTCATCAGACTTTTTGACTGATAATTCTGTTGGTTGCATTAATACTTCAGATGGTATTGTAACTGTATACTGAAATAAAAGACCAGGAGAGTGCTTCATTTGTGTGGTGGAACGCTTATTGTAGTTGAAATCTTAAACAAGGTTGATCTCCATTATTAACGCTTATACTATGCCACCTTGTGGTCATAATTGTGAGCAAACATTGAGAATGAAAAATTACTTAAAAGAATAGTTAGTCCAAAAATGCTGCTGCTGCTGCAAAAAAACAAAACAAAATCTGTCATCATTTACTCACCTCTCAAGTTTTTCCAAACCTGCATGAATTCCTTTCATCTGCTGAACACAAAACATTTCTTTTGAAGAATGACGGTAAACCAGTTGATGGACCCCATTGACTTCCATATAGTATGAAAGAAAAAAATACTATGGAAGTCAATGATGCCCATCAACTGCCATTCTTCAAAATATCTTCTTTTGTGTTCAGCTGAAGAAATAAAATCATGCAAGTTTGAAAAAAATTGAGTGAGTAGGCAACAGAAATGTCATTTTTGGGGGAACTATCCCCTAAGTAAAACAAAACAGGACTACTTGATAGACACGATTTCTCATTAACATTTATTTATTATTTTTTTCCCCATACAGTTTCTCATAACCAATTTTAGGGTACCTTTTTAACATTTTCCAATTATTTACATCTGTACAGAGAAAGCACACATACAAGTATATGTGTATGTATACATGTACTACAGTTTAGACTACAAGCATTTACACAGAGGAGAACAAAACAAAAATCCCATCTCAATCCCAAAAGTATTGTGCTACACAAATGTAGTGAGGAAGGCGTCGGACACCTCTACCACATCATCCTTTTTTCTACACTTTGGGAATTGAAAAAGAAAATAAACAAAAAAACACCCTCCATACTGTCATCTAAAAAGTTAAGGCAGAGACATTTTTTTTTTTCAAGTTTAAATAAAATTCAAGTTTTCAAACACTGTTAATTTATATGTGATGTTTCTTTTTAGTTTGTTTCTTTTTTGAACATCTGAATGGTTTATGTAATGAAACCATTACTTCAACCACGGTTCGCTTCATTTATTGATGGAAAAATGATCAGTTGCATTCAAAGAGTCAGAAAAATCAACAGAAACTTTTTTTTGATTAACCGAGGAAAAAAAACACTCACAGGGAAGACACAAGAATATATAAACAACAGACGCCATGACAAACATCTCAAAGCATTCTGCACGTGCTTCACGTTGCAGCAAGACATCAAAACAAAATAAACTGTCTGTCTCGCTCGGCCTAAGACGGTTTCAAACTCGAATGAGAACCAATGAACTGAACCAATGAACAGCATGAACGAGAGTGACACTGAAACGCAAAGTCTGCATAAAGGAGAACCCCCACAAAACAACGCTGGTCCATGTGTGCTGAAGGCTCAGATCTTTTTGCTCTTGATGTATACGTCACTATATAAATGTACACGATCCCACTCATATAGTCGTGGTGATATGAAAGCGAATCGGTGAAGGTCAAACGGCAGACGTTGGTGCGTGTTGGTGACTTTCCCTCCGTTAATATAGATAAAAGCACCAAAGAAACCATGTGACAAACCTTTGCACCACACCAGGATAACAAACGAAGCTAAGAAGCAAATTATATATCCATCTATCATTTAGATCACAGCAGACTAGGCACATGAACACTTCACCCTCGCAACCTGAGGACTTTGCAGTGTGAAGATCTTCCAGAATCGAATGAAGAGGCATCAGAGTGGATTCTTCCCAAACAATTGGCGAATAGGAAAATAAGGAAAAAAAATTATTCAGCAAACCAATGTGTGCTATTAAAAGGTTAAAAAGAAAAGAAAAAAGTAAAAGAAAGCATGCACACAAGAACAGGTATACATACACCTGCTACAATATCACATCAGTACAATTTGATAGAGGATTAGCATGTAAAAAAATAATTCAGAGCTCCAAAATAAACGTCACTCCAGTGCTGGAACATCCAAACATAAAAACAGAACACAAAACAGATTTACACAAAAGTCTCACTCATGCAGTTGTAATGGCTGGCACTGCCGAGATTCGCACCAGTGCCAAGACACTCAAGGCTAGCAAAATTATATACAGATCAGTTAAAAAAAAAAAAAATGAAAGAAAAAAACAACACAAAAATAAGTGTTTCAGGATCAGCACTATTCAAAAATCTGTATTTCCTCCCAACAGCAATATTTGTTTTAACCCCAAAATAAAGTTGAGCTCTGACAAAACATTTTTAAATAGTTAATCTCCAACTGGTGCTGGTTCATTAATCCCATTTTCCTTGGAAAACAACTAAAGATCTTGTAATTGAAAAACAAAACGACAGAAAGGACAACAAAAATATTCAGAGAACCCTTATGCACAAGTGCTTTTGTCTGTAGGCCCTGATTCCAGTGACAAGCTGTCTGTGTGTGCACTCACAGAGACCGTGAGATAAGAGGGACTTCTTTTCTTTTTTCTTTCTGAGCAGCCCTGACAAAGTTTTCGTTCCCTTTCGGTCCTGGAAGCAAAGCGGAGGCTCTCAGGATTGGTGGAAGGAAGCTGTCGTGTCGCCGCTCACTCGTTCCCCAGCGCTATGATGAGATTTCACTGTCTCTCTGGGACAAGCCGTCACTGTGGATTTGCCAGGTGCGGGTGCTGCTGATTCTCTGCATCTGCGTTCTGCCGAGTCAGGGGTCTTGATGTCTTCGACGGTGGAGCTGGGAGGCCGGGGATCTGCTGACGGCTGCTGTGTTGGTGCCTCCCTTATCCTCTGACAGATCTCTGCGTAGCTCGGCTTCCGGGGCTCCTGGTCAAACGCAATATATGAATGAAATTAATCAATTTAGCCAATCAATCTTGCATAGTTGAAAAAATGTCGATCTTTGTAACATATATATTAAGATACAGTGCTTCAAACCATCTGTGTACATTAAGTGCATGCTGAACAGGATATTTTATCAAATGATTTTTCTTATGCTAACTAAATCTGCATTTATCATCAAAATATAGTAGAAACAGTATATTGTGAAAAATTATAACAATTTAAATTATATTTTTATGTAATACATTTTAAAATGGAATTTATTCCTGTGAAGGAAAAGCTTCAGTGTCACATGATCCTTAAGAAATCTTTCCAATAAGCTGATTTGCTGCTCAAGAAGCATTTCTTCTTATCAATGTTGAAAACTGTTGTGCGGTTTAATATTTTAGTGGAATCTGTGACACTTTTTTTCAGGATACTTTGATGAATAGAACAGCATTTATTTCAAAAAGAAATTTCTTTATGGTAATTTTTTTAAAGCTATATTTTTGGCCTTTTTTGCCTTTGTTTAGATAGGACAGTAGGAGGAACTCATGGGAAAGGAAAGGGGAATCGGACCGGGAAAGGACCTCGAGGCGGGAAGTGGCACCCTATGTCAGAGCAATTCCCCCACACGGCTATGGCTCCGACTCGGTCACTTTTGATCAATTTGATCAAATAAAAATTCTTGCTGAATAAAAAGCATTAATTTATAGAATAAAAATCTCACTGACCCCAAAACTTCAAACAGTAGTGTACATAGTGTAAATCACAAAGTGCTGAAGGAACTGATGCAATAGAGCGCAATAGTTCCATATGATACATGCTTCTGTAGAAGCCACAAGTCTCGCAAGTTCAATAGTGTAAAAATAGTGTAACTGCTGAATTCTTGATAAAAAAAACGACACTAACCACAATCAGAGAGGTTGTTTTTACCATAGAAACTGAAATCATGGCATAATAGCTTGACCACCTACTCCCATGAACCATTTGAGCCATTAAGTTGCTCTACCTTCATATATAATTAAACATACCTGAACATGTTAATATAAAAATAAAATAAAACGTTTAATACATACAAGTCTTTTTTACTGTACTTTTGATTCAATCAATTACTAACACTTACTGTTATTGGATTGCTCAGCAGTGCGGTTTTAGCAGCTTGTGTATCTGAGCATTTCTCTGCAGGTGTCTGCGTCTCTTTAGGTTTTTCTACAGTTGTCAGGCTGTAAAATACCAACAAAAAAGGTCCATATATTAAAATGTGCCATTTTCTACAGTTTAAATTTGTTTCCCCTCCAGAAGCACACTTATATTAGTCAATGTTATTTGCAGCAAATCAATTTAATGTGATGTGATTATTTTACCAACTAAAGCCATTTTGCTACTGTACCTTTAACACTTTATATAAATGATCTATTATGATTAGATTAGAGTTATGATTAGATTAGAGTTATGATTAACTCATTCTAACATAACTCACAGTAGTAACACCACCTCTGAAAAAAATAGCTGAATATTGATTAAGTTTTGAAAAGTAAAATAGGTGTTTATCTCAATGAAATCTTTAAAGCAATTTATTTTGGAATGCCACATGAATATATCCCCACATTCTGACGGAATCCTGAGAAATCGCACCTGTCACTGTGACAGCTGTAAACTTGCTTTAGAAGAAGAAAAGCAGTGAGGAGGCCTTGCTCCTGGCTTTTAAGCCAATCAGAAATACTGTAATATGCACATATGTCTGTGAATTATTTTGAGTCTTCTAAAAGTACAGTTTTTAAGAGACAGTGTGGTTAAAATAAGCAAAATAGCTGAACATTAGTTACCATCTGAAATCATTTGCAACATCTTTAAGTGAAAACTGATGTCACATTTATTGATCAGTCATTCATAAATATTCATTGAACCCACTTTGAAAGGGCTGGAGAGGGCGAGTGTTGGTGGTCCACTGGGGTCTGAGCAGCAGGAGCGGGAGCAGGAGCGGAAGCAGGAGCGGGAGCGGGAGCGGGAGCAGGAACGGCAGAAGCCTGCGCGGATTCTTTGGAAGTCCCTGAGATCACACGGCTGGTGACCACATCCTTATTTAGAGGCTGTGGAGAGACAAAGGGGCCTCTGTGAAACTCCTAAGGCAAGGACAGCATGAACAAACATAACAGCTGGACAGCAGGAACTCACACACACACACACACACACACGCTCTAAAGCACTCAAAACACCCAAGGACTTGTAGTTATGATTGACAGCCAGGTCTGCTGTTAACATGGCATTCCATTCTTAGTGCAAGTTAATGTTTAAAAACCCAGAGCATCTGTTAACTTTTCTAGAATTCGAATAATTAAAGCCATGAGATTTATTTAAGCCTTTTCTTCTTCCTTATTTGAATTTCAAAATATTAAAGAGAGTTTAATGCTGCAGCACAAACATTAAAGGACTGAATGAAAGTCAACCTTGTCTTTAATCGCTCCAGTGACGACATCAGACAGCCGGTTGTCATGGCTATTTTCAGTTTTTACTTCTGGCTTTAGATTTCCTGCAGCTCCAGGCAGAGGAGGGAAGCTGGACAGGCCCAGCTCAAAGCTAGGGGACGGGGTGCGCTCCTGAACAGGAGGGGGCGACTGTGTTGCTGCTCTCTGTTAAACACACACGAGAAGAAAAAGAGTTGAAACATACAACAAACTGAGCCTGTAAACAAGAGGCATGTTGCATGAAGCCGGTTTCCGTTGCTACCCAAGTTAAGTCTGAGCAAACTCTGGTTTATCGGCCTCATAAAGGTGGATTGGTTTTTAGCGGGGTTCATTGTCATGGTAAATTGTGCGACATGGTTAACCTGAGGTGCATTTCACAAAAGCCAGCACTACAGGATTTTGATTCTGTTCGAATACCCAGGCAACTTTTCTTTTTTTTTTTTTTTCTTTTTTTTTTTACATAGATGGGATAGTTTTTTTGGGGGGGGGGGGGTTGTCTTTCATATCGCTCTGGGGTCTGTTTTACTGAATTTGGGGGGGTTTCTTACTGAAATGTTCATTCAAATCAATATTTCATGTCTATTTATTTGTTTACTTGGCTGTGTAATAAGTAAAATAATGTACATTCAGCCCTTCAGGGTTGACTGTATATTACACTTCCCTTGAAGAATATAAGGTTTTCTATCATAACAAAAGCAAATCTAAACACAAAACACTTGTGTATGCAGTGGTAGATGAAACAAAGCAAATGACATACTGGAAACTTGTTGTCATCTCTCCTTTTCCTGTATCCATAGCCGCCCCTTCTTCAGAAGAAACAAACAATCAAGACTGAGCAATACGGAAAGAATTGCCACAATTTCTTATGGAAGAAGTTCTATAAGCCCCCACCCATCTTGGATATTGTATTACCACAATATTTATGAAATTAATAAACAGCTGGTACAGATCGTACAGCATTACCTTCCACGGCCCGCGTTTAGAGAGTAATCAGCACCGTTTACTTCCATCCGTCCACTTCCCACCTGGTCCCGGCGTGGATAGCCTGGACCATTTGGTAGACGAGGTCGGCTACCCAAGTGATGAGCCTGTGGAGGCCGCGTCCCATTGGGGACTCTCTCCGAAGAGAAAGTAGAGAAAGCAGCAGGGTTTTCTAGCAGAGTGGTTCCACGCTCTGTTGTGAGTCGAATGTGTGTTTTGTTATGATTCCTGTTCAGATGAAAAGATAGTTATACACAGCTTTGTCAGTTGAAGCTCTTCAAAATATCAAACATCACTACACTGACACAAATCTGTTCTATTATGGGCTATATACAACCGTTCAAAAGTTTGGTGTCAGTAACTTTTTTTTTTTTTTCTCTAATGCTCTAATCCTCACCAAGGCTGCATTTATTTAATCAAAAATAGAGTAAAAGTATTGTGTACAGTATTGTGAAATATTATTAGAATTTCAAATAACTTCTATTTTAATGGTTTAAAATGCAATTTATTCCTGAGATGGCAAAGCTAAACTTTTAGCAACCATTACTCCAAACTTCAGTGACATGATCCTTCAGAAATCATTCTAATATGCTGATTTAGTGCTTAAGAAACATTTCTTATTGTAAATCAGTTGTGCTGCTTAATATTTTTGTGAAAACAGATAATTTTTTTATGGTTTTTTAAGATTGTGTTTGTCACATAAAAGTCTTTACAGTCACTTTTGATCAATGTATGTGTCCTTGCCGAATAAATACGTGTTATTATTATGTATAATTTTTTTTAAATTCCTACTCAGAGCAAACTTTTGAATGGTAGTCTAAATGTATACCAGATTTTTTCACCCCAACACTGTACCTGTTTCGAGGTGCATATTGTCTGACAGTTATTGGAGATGTTGCCGTTTTAAATGTCGGGGAACCAGGGAAGCCGTTAATAAATGCAGGGCTGGTGAACGGAGTAACCTGTTGATATACAAAACCTGATTAAGTACCTCTAGTACTTCATTCGGATATTTCTCAGAGCCAAACAGACCACATGGCACTTACCAGAGTCGGGTCCAGGTAGCTCTGGGTAGCTGACCAGCCCTGAGGAGTCACCAGTCTGTAAAGAGGAAACTGTTGCTGTGCTCCATACACAGGGGGGATGTAGTAAGGGGTGTAGCGTTGTTGGACATTTGAGGACACATCCACAGGCCGATACCCATTCTTTGGCACAAAGGTATTGACGGCAATGGCCTTGGCCTTTATTCTAGCCTAAGATAAAACATAAATAAAATATTAGCACAAAATATCCTTCAGTGCCATCACATATGCAGCAGTGTACTCTACCTTTATTGGCTTCCCTTGAAAAGTTTTCACCTCTTCTCTGAGATACTGGTATGCCTGAAAAAGTGATGCATGCCAACGTTTAGCAATAGGAAGCAAGTTTATTAAAAATCCTGAGGCTTTAATCTGAAATGATTGAATCACAGGCAATAAAAAACATTTACCAGCTGAGCATCCGCCTCAGATTCAAACGTGATAAACCAGTTGTCATTGTAGGCAAACTCACAATTGATGAATTTGGGCAAGTTATCGCTCTTAAAGAGCGCTTCAACTTCCTGTACAAATGAAAGCCAAATGTCATATAGATCAAAAATAAGGTCAGAGCATTAAAGATATTATTGAACAAGAGAGATGGCATGATGTGTACCTCCACAGGAGTGGCCTCAGGAACCTCTCTGAGAATTACGATGCAGCGGTTCTGATTGGGCCGCACTTTCTCGCCACATTTGTCCAGTTGGACGAGAGGCAGCGCTGGTGAATCAAAAATGCATAATTAATGTCAGACCCAACAGCTGCGTGTAACCAACCCCATTTTGAGAGCCTACAACAAAAAGCCATTAAAGCCACTGCGACCCATACAAGTGACATGGTGATGAGTTTAAACTCACTTTTTAAGATGTCTGCAATGAGATCAACATCAGTGGTGAGTTTCTTGATTTGATCAAGGTTTGCCAAAGTCACTATTGGCACATACTGGTCACTGTCCATTTGTGAGATGAGGTACATGTCGTTGGCTAGATTCTCCCTGGAAGTGGACAAGAGTTTGGTTACCATCAGTCCTACACTGATTCAACATCTTGAAGCTTTGAAGAACGATTACTACCATTGAAATGTCAAAGGGTTGACAAGTTGTTTTTTTTATTAACACATTAAACCTTCAGGAAGGACACATTTGTTCAAAAGTGTCAGTAAAGACATTTTACAAAATATTTATTTTGCAAATGCTGTTCTTTTGAACTATGCTCATCAAATAATACTGAAAACAATGTATCAAGGTTTCCACAATTTTTTCAACTGTTTTCAACATTGATAAGAAATATTTCAGAAAAACAGCATAATAGAATGATTTCTGAAGGATCATGTGACACTGAAGACTGGAGCAACGATGCTAAAAAATTCAGCTTTGCAATTACAGGAATAAATCACATTTTAAAATTTATGAAAGCAGAAAACATTTATTTAAAACTGTGATGACATTTCACAATATTACTGTTTTTACTGTATTTTTAATCAAATAAATGCAGCCTTGAGACACTTCTTCCAAAAACATAATTCTAACTGAACCTAGGTAAAGTTTGTAACATCTGAATGAAATATTAACACTTGAAGTCTAAAGACTCATTGGTCTCATTCACTAACCGGATTTGTGCGCAAAATCTGAGTACAAACAAATCCTGATTCATCAATAACTTTTGTTCTAAATTTTTAGGAACAACTGAAACCAAAAAAAAAAAAAAAACACTCTAGTCCTGTAAACTTAAAGCTGCAGTCCGCAGTTTTTCCTCTTTGTCGCCATCTCTGTTAGAAATCTGCAATTGCAGTTATTCGCGGAATTATCAACTTTACGTGAGTTGTAGTTCGACACGGCACAGCGCGGATGAACACAATGTTTGAGGAGAGTGTGCAGCTGCCAGTCACCGCGCCGGTGTCGATACTGGCATTCAGAATCACAGATTATTCTTTTTGGAAGTATGACCAACATAATTTTCACCTGAAAATGTCATCTGAACAAGTAAGTAACATACACTTTTGTTCTGGTTCTGACATTGCAGTAAATCGCGCTGATTAAATCTAAAAATCGCTTATATCACGCAAAACCGTGCAAACTATACTTTGTTCTCAAATTGTTAATGTTAACAACATCAGCATTGCGTGACTACATGTAATGTCCTTCCGATATGTATCCTTGTTTTCGCATGGGTCCGGTTGCAGTCTCTTTTTTTCTGTAGCCACTCCGAAGTCCGAACGAAGCCTTTTGGATTTTACAGCGCATGAATCTGTTGTCACTGGTGATTGTCGTTTGAACCTTTCTGGATCCGCCATCAAATTGATAAGTTTAATTATATCAAGTGCTGTGAGAAAAGGCTATAAATCTCCACCTCCAAGATCCTCACACACAATATAGCCTACTAGCCGAGACTCCTTTATGTGTACAGATGTGACGTAATGACGCAAAGACATGCTCGAATCTCCCGCGGAAATCCACCAGTACCACTGGAATTAAAAACATTATTACAAGCTTACCGTTTTGAATCGAGCTAAGGCAAGCAGATAGCGTTGAACACTGGTTGGTTATGCATTTTCTCAAATATGTATTTTGGATCATTTTTAACCCAAAAGAAGCTACGGACTGCAGCTTTAAGAAGAAGTAAGTTTCATACATATTTCATCTTAAATAAATTTTATAAAACACACACTTACTGTATATATACAGTAAAAGAGTAAGAAAAAGTATGTGCGTTACAGTTTCTGCATAAAGATGCAGATTCATGTTATGTACAACTGGCTAATCAGAGGTCTGTAATATGGATCTGTATTAAAGTTGTTTTTTGTGTTTGAACTTCTTTTGAGGATTGCACACTTGGCATTGCTCGAGTATCTTGCTGCGCATGCTCTCGGCGTGTCTTTAGAGAGCGTCATGTTTGCTGAGAGCGAGGAAAGGGTGTGCGGAAAGCCCTTATTTGGACATGGTTTGGGCATGTTTTATGCAAATTACTAACCCTGTGCATGCGGTCACTCATTTATGGTACTCTGTTCTTAATTTAAGGTACCTTGTCGGGACTATGTTATGTTTCAAGGGCTTCATAGGTTTGGGAGGTAAAAAAAGCCTTGAACTCCAGGCCAGTACACCTGACAGGACCAGAGCTCCAGCTTAAATGGGATCAGTTGTGAAGCTGCAAGTAATTACCTAGAGAGGCAGAACTCCAGTGTTGCCTTCAGTTGTTCCCGAAGGTCGTCAATCTGTCTGGAGGAGTCCGAATCGTTCACCCCTGCACAAAATAATAAATAAAATGATCAATTATTTAAGAATGCTATAGTTGAAATTAATTCTTAATGATTGTGTCAGTAAAAATGCATAACTGTAAACAACTGAAATAGGAGTAGGTTGAAAACAGTGAACAAAAGACCAAAAGGATATTACCTTTCATATTGGTGTTCTGGTTTGACACAATGCCCTTCTCACTGGCTGAGCTTCCCATGTACACTGATTCTGGCTGCGCTGCAAAGGGCAGTTCTACAGAGGTAGATACCTGCTGTTCCTCATTCCAGTTCCCTTTGTCTTCACTGTTGTTATAACCTAGCATGGACAAAACAAACAGATCAAAACCTCTTCAGACTGATAAGGTCAGTATACTAAATTAACAACTGAAGGGAAATCATTTTTGGAGGTTTACCTCCTGAGATGCAGTTTGATGGGTCATCGGCCGCATCTACCCATGACTGCTGAGAATCTGGGCAGGTTGTAGCAGAGGCCTCTGGTTTAGGCATATAATTTGCCCATGCCTTCGCATTGGGATTGAGGTCTGAGATCTTGGAGGATTCCTGTATAAAAAAATAAAAAAAATGATATTGGGTTATCAATTGTACTAAGGGCTAAATCAATGTCTTTACAATCAAATCACCAAATCATGGTTACAAAAGCATTGGCCACTTAAGCCACACTTTAATATGCATTGTACTGCATTACATAAAATATAAAAACCAAGAAGCATCTGGGAAAAAAAATGCATCTTTTTTAGAACAGAAAAATGTATACAATGTATAAATAATATATATATATATATATATAAGTAATAATATAAGATGCATGTTTAATACATAAAATAAAATACTAAATACAACACTGACATTCATACATTTTTTAAATGTGGCTAAGTGTCCAAATAATTTTAGGGGGCACTGTATAACCAAGCCAAACAACCTGGTTAGAGAGTACTCACAAGTTCACTATAAGCATTATGCCAGTCCCATATACAAGATCCTTCAGTCGCTAACAGGTTATAAGGGTAGGGTGCTATAAAACCCATAGAGGTCTGGAAATCCACTGGGCCAAAACCAAGGTTAGATTCTGTATCCTGTTGAACATTTTGCATTGTAAGGCTTGCCTCAGATACAGATTGGTCCCATGCTGACACCAACGCACATGCCTCTATTTGGTTATCAGAAAACAGGACATGTGGTTCTTTAGCCCACGCCGGAAGGCAGTGACTAGAGTCCACCTCATCGCTCAACTCTGATTTCCCAAGAAGGTCTGACACCATATTCAGCATGCCTTGCTCGCCCTCCATTTCATCCGAGCAGCCTGAGCCCTGAGGGTTTTCCACCTGCACCGGAACTGTGAATAGATCTTTATTGAGAAAATGTATCTCGTAAGATGGCGTGGTGGCGTAAATGTCAACCTGGTCAGGCTCTACTGGTAATGGAATTGCTACATTTACATAAGTGGCTTTATCACTCATATCATCAACAATGACTTTCAAATCAGACTGATCAAAGTCAAGAACTCCAAGACTGCTTGCTAGAAGTTGGGAAACATGAGGCATGGTAGTTGTCAAGCTCTCAATGGACACATAATTGCCGCCATGGCCTTGTATGGCACATGACTGTCCCTCTCCAGTTTCAAGTGATAGTCTTGCAGTACTCATGACAGGAATGCTGCACTCAACAACAGCTCCTCCCATTTCTCCCATATCTTGAAGGTCTCCCTGCTTCTGAGTAGATGTAACTGAAGATCTTCGAGTGTCATTGGCTGGCTGTTCTGAAGAAGAGTCCAGGTACAGGCAAGCACTTTCCCTCATGCAGTTTATTGACAACGAAGTGCAATCAAAGGCCTCCAATACTTCAGATTTGCATGGCGCCTCATGTACATCACTGCTAGCAGAACAAACAGAGTTCAAACAGTCATTGTTGTTATTCCCATTATTAAGGCAATTAAGCAGCTCTAAAGTTGGTACGAGTCCCTGCGTTTCAAGTTCTGACATTTTGATTTTGGTTTTGCCATCATCTGCATACAAACAAATCTTACCCAGTACCTTTTGTTCATCCTCACTAAAGCATTCACCGGCAATATGAGTGTTGTCACCATGTTGTAAACAAGTCTCTCCTATTTCACTATCCATGACTTGCTCTTGTGCTACTGCAGGTAATTTGCTTCGCAATCCCACTTCTATTACATAACTCACTGCATCGCTTTCTGGATGTCCTTTATTACAGATATCATTGTTTGATGTTTTTACAAACCAGGTGGCATTGCTCTGGGAGAGATCTTCCTCAAGAGGACAATCAGAATCAGGTCCAGGCAGAGTGTTTGTGTGAACTTCAACAACTGAAGAACTCGAAGAACGTACATTGAGACAATCAGCTTCTTCACATTTACGAGCGACTTCCAGCAACTGCTCAAAGTTCATAAGAGCATTCATAGGAAGCGGACACGGACTTGTCTCACATGGTTCAGCATCTGTAAAATTTGCATTTGGTTCTACATTCTGTTCCCTGTTTGGAATGTCACAAGATTCTGACACAATCTGGTCAGTGGGAAAAACACCACAAGTGTAGACGTGCGTTCTCAAAGTCATGTCCAAGTTGACCTCTTCAGCATTACAAGCAAGATCTACACAAATACTTTCTGCATGAGATGGACTGCTCAAACACTGATGCACACCAGCAACCTTGAACATGTCAGATTCATTTGTCTGCCCTTCAATTTGCAATATACTGCAATGGCAAGGATTCGGAATGACCTCCTCCTGAATTTGTCTTGGTTCAACTTCAACTCTATGACAGGAAGGTGATTTTGACAGGTTGTCTTCTTTATCAGAAGCCAGTGGGGTTTCAGAGCAAAACTTTACATTTTCTATGTCTTCAGAGGAATCTTTACAGGGAAATCCTTGGTTCTCTGAAGCAGTGCTGAAAGCTGAGAGAGCTTGGGGCATTTCTTTGTGAACTTTCTCAATAGGAGTTTTCTTGGAAGCACATTGATCTGATTCCTCAATAACGATTTTAAAATTTTGAAATCTATCTGCTGTGTTGCTAAGAGAAGAAATGGAGTAATCAACTTTGTCTGGCACAATCAGTTTCTTCTCCTCTTTTAAGTCCATGGATTCTCTATAATCACCATTCCTGTAATGATTTTCCAGTTCCACTTCATCCAGAGGACCATTGAGATTTTGCTGAGGTGGTCTTAACATTGATTCATCAAAAACTGTGTTCTGCATGTTGAGTTCAGAACCACTCTCCAGATCTGTGGCCTTGTAACCAGAGGTAACATAAAGATCATGGTTGTTAAGTAGGTCAGCAGGTTCCCCCTGTGGCAATGCAGTATCTGTACTTGACTTCAACCCTGACATCTGTTCATTTTGCGCCAGCAGATCTGGGGAGAGTTGATCAATGCCTTTCTCTAAAGCAGTATAGGGAGAATGTGTATTCACTGTATCTTTAAATGATGTGGAAACATCATTTTCAGATAAAGGCTTTTCGTTTTCTTGGGCAGGAAATGGTTTTAAAAGATCTGGGAGTGTTGCGTGTTCGTCATTTGGAAGTGCTACATTTACAGGTAGACTTTTAGTACACCCTAGAGTCTTCTCTGTGGGATCTTTTTCTGTTTGTTGTGCTGCTGTAATTTCATGTGATGGCCCTGAACCCGATATTTTGTGGTCCTTTGGGAGTGATGAATTATCAAACAAAGCCTTTTCAGAGACAGCTGGTGCGCTTGCGTACATGACTACGTCAGATTCAGTCAAGGATTGGTGCCCACTCTCGCTCCCGAGATCCTCTAAATCAATCAAGCAGATGCTGTAGAAACTCTGTTCTTTTTTAAAGCCACGGTCAGTTATCAACAGTCCAGAATTTCTCTCTTCTGAGTCATCCAGATTCTTCAAGCTCCCGGAGCATTTATTGAAAGGATGAATGGCATGCTTTGGAGTGGACGCAGGTTTTGACTGTACATGCCACAGTGTCTTAATTTGTTCCTCTTTTGCAATAACGGAGACACCAGAGTGTTGATCCTTTGAAATGCATAACGGACTGATGCCCAGGGTATTTCGTCTGAGGGCGGTGTTCTTGCTCTTGCCAACTCCAGTTATATCTGTGGAACAAGACTGTTGACCATCACAAAACCATTTTGCTCTCATTATGGCATTTTCAGCTATTCTCTGTTTCACAAAATCCAAAGTTTCAGTTTCCTTAATTTGGAAATTGTCTTTACTGTCTCTCCCCATTTCACTGGCATTTCCTTTCTGGACCGTAGCCTTGTGAATATGTGGATCGCCGACAGGTGTGTCCCAAAATGCCATCCCTTCCTGTACGCTGCTACGGCCTTCTTTAATGAGGTTGAGACCTGCTGACAAGTTTGTGGAGGAAGCATTACAACTGGTATCTAAAGCAGCGTTCACGTTCCCATTTTGAGAAGGCTTCTCGTCGGCCAGATCTGCGACAGGCCAAGCACAGTTTCTGACGTCTTTCGATGTGGAGCCCTCGGGAATGGCAGCCTGAAGAAGACTTGTTCTCTCGCTGACCAGGTTAGGATTCAATTCTTTGCTGAAACAACACCCCATATTTTAATTTAAGAAAGAACGTCTATGCAAACCGGTGAACAGAAACTTGTGTAGCTCCTCTCACAAGCTCCTCAGTGAGAGAAAGAGAGACAGAGGTGCACGCTATGGCTGCTTACCCCCACCCCAAACCCAAAATAGCACATTTAAAATTATACAGCTGACTCACATGGGCCCATCACTCAAACGCAAAATCTCCAATGATTGGTGCTTCAATGGACACTGTACTTGCATTATATGAATGGGATCAGCAACTTGGCAAGGTCCCAAAACGCAAGGGTGGTTCACACAAATGCCTGTTAAACCCTTTCTCAACACCCTAAGCTGGGCGGGATGTCTCTGCTGTTTCGTTATAGTGTGTTTTTTAATTCCCTAATCACAATTACTTCACACACTTCAAAAGACTAACCAACAATAGTAGATTATACTTTACCAAAAGTGGAATCTCTTTCTCCTTTGCTTCCTGTGACTGCTGCACCTGTGGCTCCACGATAGTTTTTCCTTCCTGGTCTGAAGTCATGAGCTGTCCAGGTTCTAGCTCCGAACGCAGAGCTCTCCAGATCACCAGGGAACTGTGGATGACGAAACAAAGAACATAAATCAATTACAAATCATTTACAAAATCAATTCAATTGACAATGTATGCAAAGCAACTTACAAATGGGGAGCATCACAAGCAATTTGTTATAAGAATCAACAATATTCACAGTGCAATATTCATTGATGATTATTCAATACATTACAATAAAACCAAGCAAGAAATGTAAACGCTAACCAATTACACTTTATAATTATTCCTGTACCATTCACAAGTTTGGGATGAGTAAGATTTTGTTGTTTTTTAAAGAAATTATTATATTTAGCAAGGATGCATTGAATTAAAAAATGGGACAGTAAATAGGCTATGTTATATATATTAATGTTACAAAAATTATTGCAGTTGGTTTGAATGTAGTACTATTTAAAGCATGCTGAAAAAAGAATAACTGTTTCCACAGAAAATATTAAGCAGCACATCATCACAAATAATAATATGAAATATTCCTTGAGCACTAAATCAGCATATTAGAATGACTTCTGGAGGATCATGTGACACTGAAGACTGGAGTAATTATGCTGAAAATTCAGCTGTCATCACAGGAAGAAATTACATTTGAAAATAGAAAAGTTATTTTCAATTGTAATATTTCACAGTATTACGGTTTTGACTATTTTTGATTTAAAAAAAAATATGGCCTTGATGAACATAAGAGAATTCTTACAGAATTTGACCAACCCCAAATTTCTGAACAGTTGAGTATATGTTATTACAAAAAACACATAAAACCAATCCACAAACATCAAGAACAAAATCTTTGGTTTTCTATTTCTAGAAAATATACAACTTAGGCTTCTTGAAATAAAACCTTCTGAGGGCTTTTTTTCTATTCAATCTGTACAGTAGTGCTGACTGGTCAATATAACTACTGTGGAAAGCATCTCTGAATTAGCCAACATCATCAAAACCTACTTAATATGCTGAAAAAGGAATGCTACTGAAAACTGTTTGAAATACAAGATCTCTCAAATTGATTACTGGCATGATTGCATTCATGAGAAATTCAAAAATACATAAAAATATTTGCACAATAATATAAACAGCAAATATATGGGTAAAAAAGCATGTATTGTAATGAAAACAACTCTTTAAAATATTATATAAGGCATAAACAAAATGCAAAAATGCATTAATCTCAAAACTAAGACAATATGCTTTACCAAAAATATTGAGTGCACTTCAAATTTGAATTATGGATGCATGCACGCATGACAAAATGTAGCATTTGCTTGATCGTGCTAAAATAAAAACATAAATTTTTGATCTGTCAAACTCAAAAACTGACTCAAGACAGTCCTTTCAAACGACACATGGGGAATGTTTACATTATGATAGTACCTAAACATGAGCGCAATCCAATACCATCTAAAACGACAATAACACATTTTGAGGTACAAAACGGCATGCAATAACCACGTGAAACTAAATGATGATGATACAAATTGCTAAAAAAATATACTGAAGAGGTCAAATCAACTCAATCCATATGTCAAAGTACATTAATGCTGCAGGCCAAAGCCATAAACACAACAGACAGCTGCTAGCTGATTCAGTCGAACTCTCCTTAACTATAAAGTTAACTGCGCACGAACATTAAGAACTTTTTTAATTCTTTAAAAAAATTCCTACCAAACAGAAAATGTTGTGTATCCGTCAAAGGGCTAATTCAAATAGAAAAAAAAACAATTAGTGTGTGTGTTAGCCTACATGCTAAAGACTGGCAGATAGTGAGAAGTAATGCAGCTAGCCTGAACAGTTAGCGCAAGTTGCTAACTTCAAAGGGTGAATAAACACTCCAGCTATTTACATTTGGATCAAATTACTTTATGAAACAATACATGGATTAAATAAGCGCAATAATCGTTCGCAATAATGAGTTTCTACTCACCTGTATCTGCTCTCCGCGCACGGGAGACTGTTTGCGGGCCCGAGCGTCGTCTGACTTCCACGGACAAAACTTAGAAAAACAAATCCACGAATCCGTGCAGGAAACTTTTAAACCACCACAACGCGTTCAACAGCCTCCAAATACCACCAGCTCCTCGGTATCAGGCCTGATAGTGAACTTTAAAGGTCTGTTTGGTGATGTTTAAGTGACTGGCTAACGTTTGTTGTCGAGATATTAACAACACGAGAGTGAAGGTGTGTTATTATTCAAAACGGCTTGAGTCACAGTGCGAGAAATGCGACTAAGTATAACGGTACGTGCTAGTTAAACTGGGATATGATAAAGAACGGAGCCGCACGCCTCTTCCCTCCCTGTGTATTTGTGTCCGGAGTTGAGCTTCACTCTCTCGGCTAAACGGCACCGCGAACTCCCGCCCAGAGCCGCTTTATCGACTAGCCCGCCCACTCTCCACTGCGGCCCTTTCAGTAACTCAACGGCTGCGTGTTCTACATGCGTTTGGCTGCAGTTCAATGAGCGCTGTCGATAGAGGGAGGCATAACGCAACGAATTGTCTTGAGTTGAGTCCATAGGGATTGTGGATAAAATTAAAACCTTACAATTTAAGCTTTTTGGCAGTTATGGTGTTGCATGACCGTATACTTTACTTAAATGTAAAGCTATGTAAATCACTAGTTCCCATCTAGTTGAATGCATTTTGTATAAACAAGCTAACAACAAATGCATGCATGTTGCATGTTGATTTGGCTTCATTTTACTCGTTGTGTTCAAGTTGTGTTTTATTTTATTTTATTTACCTTTTTTATCATTGTTTTCCCCTCTTGTCAATGATTACAACAGCCCATTTTGGGTCACGACCACTGATCTATATTTTAATACCCACCAGTTGAAAAACACTGATGTAAAAAAACATTTGATGCATTATATGTGTAAATATGTTTACATTTATTAGAAGATGTTGGTGCTTTTGTAAAGATGGCAGACTTGTATAGCACTCATAGACTGTGAAAAACAGCACTACATCTGCTTCTCTGAAAAGGAATGTAACCAATCAGGATCTTCACTGAGCAGCATGTGACTCATGTGTGACTGAGTGGACGGTCTGGCCTGTATTGAAAGATTCTGTGCTTCCGTTTCATCTGAAAGATTTTTCGGTTGGTTGAGAGAGACTACGGATACTGATGTTGATCAAAAAGGATTTCTGATCTCTTAAAGCTGGTGTTGTTCTCAAACCTTATTATTTTATGTATTTATTAAGTATATATGTATTAAGTATTTATTAAAAATGACATCTGTTTTTACAACCTAAGCACCATCCCAGATATGTTTGACAGATAGTAATAGTGAGAGATGAGATGTGAACCAGAGTCAGAAATTAACCAGGAAATAAACGCCACTGAAAGTGCCAAAAATGCATTTATAAAATCTATAGGCATATATATATATATATATATATATATATATATATATATATATATATATATACATGACATAGACAATTATGAAATATAAAAACGATGTGTATATATATATATATACATACATATATATATAGTTTTTATATTTCATAATTTTCTATTCTAGGCTTATCTATGTTTAGTATGGTTTAGCGGATATACAGACACCATAATAGCCATCAGAGACAGTACCTGTATGTGCAGTTTGATGGTCAACTGTTGTTTAATGCTTAGCTAATATGGGGTTGTTTATTTGAATAAATAAATTCAATCAAAGTATTTGACATAAATAGAAGAAAAGCATATTTTCCTGTGCCCTTAATAAGGTATAAAAAATACTCAATGGGAAAGTATTGCTTTTTACTGACTTTTACTTATGTCTTATTATGGAAATTGTTACCATTTTAATTTTCCCTTTAAAAATACTTTTTTGTATGTAACCATATAAAGGCGATTTTAAAGTAAATTAAACATTCTACAAGAAAAATTATTTCCAAAAGTGTAACTATGCAATGCATTTTAATAAAATAAAAATATTCGTAGTTCAATTTTTACAATATTTTCATCAATATGATGTAAAATATAGAGAGATGACATACAACATGCTAGCTTTTATTTCGATATTTATTTCTTTTTAAAATGTACATAATAGAAAATAACTCAAGAAAGGGGTACATGCCAAAGAGGAGAAAATGATGGAAAAAAACAAATGTAAAGTTACTGTATTTTTTATTGATGTGATTAGACTAATGCCTATGGTAACACATATAGTCATGAGGGATACAAAAGGCCAGGCGTGAAATGGTCCATCTACGATCTCAGCACAGTGAAACTTTATCTCTTTATCTCTTTCAAATACGTCTTTTATTATTTTTGCTTTGTGTAAAAATATCCTCTGTCCACCAGGAGGCGACCTCAGATCAGACTCCCATCGCGCCATTTCGTTGCGGTAAAAGCCGCCAGATGGCAGTTTAGGATTGCTTCTCTCAGGAAAGGCGCGGTTCTGCTTCAGGTCTAATTTACAATATAAAAACATAAACTATTTGGTCAATTAATCGCGCCAATTATTACTGACGCGTGTCCCGGAGGACCCCTTTTAGCGGTTGAGGTGAGTTTGTACTAGTTTTGCAACAACTGAATCTGAATCTTTCCGTGGGGTGCGCGCTCACTGCGTAAATCGAGCTTGCATTAAAGATGGAGGACATGCAAGAGGGAGTGTGTGTGCGTGCGCGCGTGTGAGTGTGTGTGTATATATATGTGTGTGCGTGTAGGGGGGATGGGATCAATTCTCGAAGGACAGTGTGTGCGTGTGTGTGCATGCCCCCTGTCCTTGGTGACACTGTCTTCCCTTTCACTCATGGCTATATTATCTTAATAAGCTGAAGCGCGTGTGATTTGGTGTGTTATTGCAGGAACGAGTGTGACATTATGTCTTCCTGCCGCCATGAACGTCAGTCAGGCGCGCGAGACTCTCAACTGCTGTTGTTCTCTGATGCGCTCGTGCTGGTCGCTGCTAGTTTGAATGTAATGTCTGATTTGTGTACTTGCTTCTAAGTTTGTCCAGTTTCACACACTTCCCGGAGTTGTCACGAAAAATATGCTTTATTTGCGTACTTTA